TCCCGTCTCTCGGAGGAGGCGAGGGCGATGGACTCTGCACACAGCAGGTGCAGCGCGTAAAAATATATACACCGTGTCCATCGCTTACAACGTTAACGTGTATGTATATGCTCGTGCTGCAGGTTGTGGGTGTGTGCTTATACAATTACAGTCTCGTATTTTGTTACTTTCGTGAGTTTATCATCAATATATTATACTTTACGGGGAACTTCCTTCAAATGCGGGGGGTTTAGGTAAACAACAACAATAACTACTAGAACATAGTGCGAAGGAAGTAGGTGTAGTTATAGTTTGGCACCGGAGACGCTATATACACGCTAGAAAACAACGCAACATTTCGCATACACACAAACTTTGTCGCAACAGCTGCTCTGCGCGTATATTATAATGTACAATCACAGGTAAAGATTACAATTTTTAGTCTCGTAGATCCATTTGATATCGAATAATACGGAGACGAAGAAAAAAATGTGGTAGAGGGAGGGCGTTTACAACATGTGTAAGTATATATATATAGAGAGAGAGAGAGATGAAGAAATAAAAACGAGAGGAGCCAATGGTTCGGAAGCTGCGCCTTTGTATTTATATCTGGAGTGAATATGTATATATACGAGACGCATGCATCGAAGGTATTTATATATAGAGGCAAAATATAACCCTCCGAGAGTAGAACAGCCGTCAAACGATAATCTGCGTCCAGGTGCGCGACGCCAAATTCGGGGACTTTCAGAAGTATATACTTATACTTACCTTCTACATCAGGTATGGGACATTGGCTGTTCTTTTCCTCTGGGTGTGTTTCATACGTGTATATATACACGAGCAACGCGCGTGTGCGTTCACCGAGAGAAAAACGTGATCGTGAGACGAGCGATGGCATCGTCTTTCTCTCTTTTTTTTTTTTTTTCTTTTCTTTTCTTTTTTTTTTTTCAACCCACAACACGTTAGTATCTCTTGTTATTCTTCCGGATGAGATGGCACCTATACATAATGCCTGGTGTAAGCATATTAGATACGTCTAAATACAATACAAAGGGTACAAGGGGGTGAGTGTCTAAAACTAGACCTGTCGAGTTTATCCTTCATATATTTTTTTTTTTTTTTTTTTTTTCAAGGAATCTGCGAGGAATACAATGTGTGTATGTTTATGTTGCTGTGTACCTGTGAGAAAAATACCTTCGAAATGTGTAGCGTTTTCGTGCGCGGGAGTCTAGTAGCGACACGTACACGCGTTTATAAAGAACCACCGAGAGATTACGCTAATGGTGTCACGGGCCGAAAAAAATAATAATAAGGGAGGAGCAGAGCTGCAGACGAGGGGACCGAGGAATTGTGTGCCCACGCGAGTGCACCAAGGAAAATAAGAAGAGAAAAATGAACACAGCCATATATAAGTATATAACGTAATATGCATGGAATGTGCATGTCTATTTTAAAACTAAGATTCTAAGCGGGCTGCTGCGGGTGGGTTTTTTTGTTTCAAGTGCAGAAATAATCCTCTTTCGGGCGAGTAGCAGTGAGTATACGCATCAAGGGAAACATTGAATTTCAGGGTATAATATATACGGAGTGATTATTTTACCGATTGTTTGATCGTTTAAGTTTTTTGAATTTAATTTTCTGTCATGAATTGGATACGTCCCGTGAATATGCACTGATTAAATAAAATGTGTGGATTTATTGCTGTGACTTTTGCATTGCAAATGAAAATTGTTTGCATGCAATTACATAGAATGCGTTTAGTTATTTTGATTGAAAAACGAGTGATGGAAAATGCATCAAAAAAACATGAGCGATCAATCGTTCTTTGTTTTTTTGCTACTAAACCCGGATTACTCCAATGAAGGTACATTATTTAGTTTTATTCACACAATAGCTCATCATTTCGAAGCTTAATAGTATTGAGTTGAAGTATTTTTAGCTTATGGAGACATTTGCCAAAAAAAAAAAATTTCGACGTGTGATGGAGTGAACTGGGCTGTGACTCGCGTTCACCGACCGCAAAAACGCCCATAGCGAGCGTCGTGCTACTCTGTCACTTTTTTTGGGATCCCGTACAATTGATGTTGGAGAATAAAATAATGAATTTTTCCGTCTGCGGCACCAGTCTATTGCGAAAAAAAAAAAAAAAAAAGAATTGACCGACAAGCAACAAAAAAAAAAAAAAAACGCAAGCATAGCTCAAAGGTACAGGTGCACAAAGTCAGAGGAAAAGCTCAGTGGAAAAAACGTGATATTCCTCTGTGTGTCAATGACTTTTAATGCTCGCTCCTTCTCTCTCTTCTTTTTCTCCGACCACCTCCGCTGTACGCACCAGACGATACGGCCTATATGCACTACATTATATCTCGGAACGCGCGATCAAAATCCAAAAGTGCGAAGGAGGAAAAGAGATGAAATTCAAGCAGGCAGACATATAGACAGCTGCTGCTTCTGACGCATACACCTATATTTGTCGAGATCCCTAAAAAATAATGCATTGGAGAAGACAAAAAGTCACGAGACATTTGATTGATACTGGAAATATAAAAATGAGTAAAAAGTTAATAACGGTTTATTCGATGGTCGTTAATAGATTATTTTGCGACCATTAAATTTTAGGTTCCGTTGTGATATACCTTTTTTTACTCTTATAAATATTATGCAGGGCCAAACCGGAGCAATCGCGAACAAATCTAATGAAAAAAGTAAATCGTCATTGTTTTTGCCAAAGCATATCATATATATTCACTGGTTTTAACTTGTTTACATATTTTTTCAATAAAGACGATTACCATTGTCTCATTTATTTATTACCAATATTTACTAATTTTTTTTTTTTTTTTAATTAATAAAAATACACTTGAGTTGTTGAAAAGTCTCCACTGGAGTGCGACTTTCCGTCATACACACAGCAAATACAACGATGCGACTTTTCGGAGATTCGCGCGTATAAGTATAATGTACGTGAAGGGAAAAGAGGAAGAAAGAAAAGGATAGCCTAGTGGGGGGAAAGTACGGGGGTGTGGGCGAGCAATATAATATAGTGAAAAAGAGGTGCATGCAATAGTCCTGTAAAATCACTCCTGAAACTGAATTTGTTGTGCATATTTTTTTATCACGTAATAAATAAAATGGTTGTATATTTATTAGGTAGTTTTAAAATTTTACCACTTTTTAATTGGATCAAACCAGTTTTTTGCTGCATCTTGTTTTCATATTCTTGGGATTAAAACTTTGCTTTACGCGTTTTTTATTTTCACGGGTAACTTGAGCTTGCAACATCATTCAATAAATTATTTACCAAAACCAGAAGGGTTTGAACATACAAGATATACATCCGAAGTGCAGCCGTGCTAATACCGTAGTATGAGTGATGATCCGGAGCTGACTCACAAAACTGACTCTTGATTATACCGGTTATTGGTTGTGTTTTTGTACTAGTTCCTATGAAAGCTAATGCTACGAGAAGGAGAATTGTTACAGATTTTTAACTAACTTTGTTTTTTTACACGTACGTGTGCATTATTTTATATGAAACATTTCTTATTTTGAGCAAGTAATCATCAGTTTTTCAAAATCCACGGTAATAGGGCAGAGCACGGAGATAGGTACCTACACTTACCCCTATTTCGTTTGGTTTCACGCGGGAGCTACCAAGTTAACAAAGTTCGAAGCGAAAGAACGATTTTAATGGCTCTATCGCCCGAACTAATCCACCCGCACCACCCACATCCTATACTCGCCATATTATATACAGGCAGACGGCTGCAAATATCCAGCAGGCGGTGGCAAGTTGCGGCCAGTACATCAGGCTAACCAGTCGAGGCTTGCGGCTTTTCTCGTTACAATATATACATATACCACATAATATAACCTCACATGCCTCGTCTGCGCTCGCGCACGCGTTCATACAATACTACACCGCATCCTCCTCGTTTTTCGTTTCATTTTTTGGCAGTACTTGACCATTAGATGTTTTTTATACCTCATTTAATCCAACTCTCCCATGCGCACACATATGTATGTATGTATATATATATAAAAATGCTGCGCGCCTAAATTATACTACCCAACGTGCATGCAGACCAGGACACAGAGTGTACACTAAAGTATAGTGGCATGTAGTGTACGTATGGACTGCGCCAAAAGTGCATGTGTGTTCGCGAACGAGAGATCATATTTTTGGTTTACCTAAATATAGGTATGAAGTGTGTATTTTTCGATGCTATGTGTTCAAACGTCGCGTCGGGAGGTGCAGAGATGGTGGTGTTTTTGTGAGTTAACAAAACGAGTGCTGACTGCAGAGTAGTGAAAAACAAATAAGTGACAGCGTCGACGCTTCCGCTATACAGTAATATATATATAATATACATGACTGCAGGCAGCCTTTCAAGTACACAAAAGCCTTTGGATGTATCCTCGCGTGTGATTATTGGACTACTTTTTTAATAACTTATTGGTATTTTTCTCATCTTTGTTTAGTCCACAGTTACATTATTATTATTGTTATTATCATACATGTGCAAGTACAAGTACCAAACTTACTTTTCCATCGCCATATCGTCATCATCTGCACATCAACCTCAGAGTTGAGTCTTTTCCTTCGGTGCTATTTTACACATACAAGTACACCTACCTAGTGTACTGATTTTTTTCTCCTGCTCCTTGAACGAGCATACACTGTTCAGCTACAAAAGTGTGTACCTATAGGTATATATACACAGAGAGATCCTGTAGAGCATTGTAAAAAAAGATAAGAGAAGCAGAAAAAAAAGAGCAGACAAGGAATAATAAAAAGGAAGAGAAAAAAGAAAAAAGAGTATACATATACACATGCACACACAGTAAAGTATATATATATATATATATAAATATACGTGTGTTGGCTCTCGCTCAGGAGAGGATAGGTGCACGATAGACAGAGATAGAGAAGCCCATAGCGGGCGCACACGGCCGATCCAATGGTGATCCGCTTGCCGGAGCTGCTTTTGTTCGCTGAGGACGTTTGGAAGAAGGCGCTCGCCAGACTCGGCCCAGCCACCGACAAGCACGCGGCCAAGTAAGTTTTTTTATTAGTAGTTTTTTTTTTCATCAAAAAAAAAAGGATTAACGTTAACTCCCTTTACACGAAAACATATTTACCATTCAAAGTGTTTTTTATTTGTTGATGTTCATTGATTGGTTGATTAAAATAATCAAATAAACAAATGTATATATATATACCCTATAACTATATATAGTTTACACAGGTGAGAACAACGTGTTAAGTATAAGCAGACGATAAGTACAGGGTATACAGTGTGGGTGTGAAGGGTATGTATATAAGGGATCGATAGGATTGGCAATTTTTCTTAGGAATTTTAATGTGTGATAAAAATAAAAGGAGAGAGAGGAATAAAGTGCAGAATCGAGAGTGACAGGCTTTTAACGCTCTTGCATACTATCTGCACTCCTATGGTATGCAGGTAGGTATAGATGTTATACCTGTAGCCGTTTACCGCCAATCATAATGTTCATGTGATATTATGTACGCAATGTGCATATTAAATTTATGTGCGGACATATGTATATCTGCATGAAGTAGTGCATGCCACCCAAATCGAAGCCCCGATGGGTATGTAGTATGTAGGCATAGTTGGGATATTAATAAGTTGTGCGATCGAAAATTATTGAACGACCTATTTGATGGTGCAGCTGTGCAAAAAGGCAACTTTTGCCGGTGTTGGTAGATATATAGTTTGTTCGTTTAAGCTAATTTTTTTTTAATTATTTGAATTCTTCGGTTGAGTTTTGTATGTTTAAAACGCAGTAAGATTACAGTTCAATTATTTTTGCCGTCAAAGGACTTGAAAATTTAATAAAATTGAAATTAAGCACGATGCATTAAAAATCCCTCTAAATTACTATGCTAGTAAGTTTGAAATGTTGAATACTGTTAATATTAAAACACGTACGTAACTCGATTATATCTAGGTTTTAAAAAAAAACGTAAATTATTTATGCATACAATATTTAACTGTAATTTTAATTATAGATGCAATTAAGTGTAAATTTTTACCGTTATAAATAAATAAGCGTTTCATTTGAATTTCTTTATATTTCAACTGTGATTCTTAGGTGGCTTATTTCATTGCATAAAAAATAAATAGTTTGAAAATCGATTTAAGATCTTTAATAAATTGGTGTGCGTAAAAAATATTTAATTAATCAAATTAAAAGTAATTCCCTGTAATTTCGGATGAAATAATTTCAGGTTACTGTAGATAGCTGCAGAATGCAGCCGATCGATCTTTGTTGCAAGAGCTGCAGAGGGAATGCATGTATAAATACATGTGTGCGTGTGTGGGCTGTTCATTTGAATTTAAAGATATACAATATACAATGACCGTGAAAGCGTCGAGTAAATAAACGATGATGATGCTATGTTAAAACAAGACGGGCCTCTAGTATTACAGCTATTTTGATTCTTTATGCAGACTCACGGCTGTGCTTTAGACTTTTATTGTAATCGATCTTTGTTTTATTATGAATTATTCATTGGTCTTCTGAAATATCATCCCAGAATGAAAAAAGGAAGAAAAAAAATTTAGTTTTTGACCACGTTGTCGCTTGCTACGAACGCCCATTCATTTTACAGTCGCGGGTATTTTTTATTAGATGCCATTGAAAAAATTTAAATTCTTCTCTTACTCAAAAATTTTTTTCTCGATACTTCTCAATGTAATCATGGAATTGGAAATGTTTTAAATAACACTTTTATTGTTGTACGTCAATGTCCAAAACCATAAATAAAATGTATATTCTATCTGTACTCTCTAAAGTATATTCAAATTTTACAATAGCAATCCGAAATTCACGTGAAGCATCGCAATACCTAACGAGATGGCAGGTGCATCCCTGCCAGGTCTTGACGCACAAACACATAGACGTATATAAATATGTTTCGGTCGAGCCGTAAAAAAAAAAAAAAAATGCACCATAGGTATGTTATCTCAAGGCGCCACTCCAAATACTTATACTCCAAACAAAAATGTTCATCAAAACACACTTTCGATGTTTGTTTTTTTGGCCACGCTGCCAATATACTTATAAACATTTTCTGACCCAGCAGAGCATAGTTACGTACTAGACAAAAGTACAAAGCAAAAGCGAAAGCGAAGCAAATTTCGTGAAAAGCAGGGACATGACGATAGAGGACGAAAGTAAGGGATGAAAATAAATAGACGACAAAAAACAACGTGCCTTATACACGTACAAAGGCGACACTGTCCGCGCTCGAGGGACCGCTCACGGTTCAAGGGTACATTTGGGGGGGGGGGAGGGAAGGATCGTCCTAAGTGGTGCCAAGGCATGCGTGCGTGGCATTGTGTGAAAAACTCTCGCTCGAGGAAAATTGGACAGCAGGTTTTTCAGGTGCTTCTTCTTCTTCTTCTTGTAGCTCGCCGGGACGACTCAATCGGCGGTGCAGCTCACCGCAAAGTTGGGCTCACCTAGGCGATGGTAGTAAATCATTGTTTGGGGATAAACGAGTCACGCGCGCACCAAGAGTATTATGTATGGTCTGAGAAAGGTTTTTTTTTTTTTTTTTTTCTTCGGAAAACAGGTCCAGCGCGTCTCCTGTTTATTACTACTTGCAGAGGGCAGTGTATGGGCGACGTCTTTCAAGTCTGACGTTGTTGGAGACGGGCTCTCGTAAATACGAGATCACGGGGACAAGGCATTTTTACACACCCGTGTATTTATGTTTTTGGCGCGTGAAAATTTGTGCGTGCCTCCTCGCGCGTTTTCGGCTCTCGATTGTCTTCCTCCCTATACGCCGAAACCCACAGCCTTCCGGGAAATCGAGAGGGAAGATTCGCCTTCCTCGCCACTTTTTCCCCGAATGATGATTCATTTGCCAGATATTGAATGTATGAAAAAAGAAGAAGAAAAAATTGATTTTTTTTCCCGATCAGGCTCTTCGTTGATATTTCTCGCCTGTTGTGCAAAATAAACGCGTGCGCTCGCGCTACATGACGAATTTGCAAGCCGAGCTCGAGTATGCTTATATATATATATATATATGTATATAAGTACATTGGTACAGTCCTTTGTTTCTCCCTCTCTTTCCTCCCACTGTTGCTGAGCATATCCGTTTTGGTGCTTTGTATCGGCGGTTGAGCAAAAGACCGTCGTATATTTTAGAAATGTATTTGAAGAATGTCCTATCTTGAAATTATATTAACAAGTATATGACGCCTCATCTAAAAATAATTAAAAAAACAACTGTAAAACGGGTAGTGTCTCTAAAACGGATGTTAATATAAAACTTTCTATCTCAATCAATTTCTTACTTTCCCTTTTAATCTTTCTTTGTTTAGTTTAAAATGATAATGTTTTTCCACTACTTTCAATTCAGATTGTAAAGTTAAAATTTTATTGCTTGTGTATCGTTTGTGAATCATTTGATTTTTGTACTTATTTTGAATTAGTATGAGTAATGGTAAGTAGTCTGTATTCCACGTAGTATATAAAATTGCAACATTGCGCTCTTAAAACATCCTTGAAAGTCACCTGCCATCATTTTTATTTTAAATATTTTAAAAGTACATCAATCTTTAATTATATATAATTACCTTGACAGTTACATTTTATTTATTTACAATATATAGCAATTCACGCACTTCACTTAACAGTGTATTTTGTATGTGCTTATGCACTTTTGCCTTTTTTTTTATTTTGTACACGAGAGAGCGGTAAGCAAAACGACGTTGCCATGGCTAATAATGCACGCGCTTCCCTCCATAATCCGCGATTCGTTGCATCCAAATGTAAAAAAAAAGGACCATTTTATCAATCGATCTGCATCAACGACGCGCTCGGATATTAAATCAAGCGTTCTTGGATGTTTACTCTAACTTTTCGCTATTGTCGTTGGCGTGGGTTATTTTTATTGTTGTTATCAGATCTGAGAATCGTAAATATGTGCGAAAAGTTTGCACAGCGTGCGCGTGAACACAATATTGAGTATGAGCAAACGGTAATATTCCGTGAATCGTACAGTAAATAACATATCGCGACTTGTCTGGCGTTGTATAATATATTTATAGTGTTTGCACTGTCTTTTATTATTTATTTATGGAGCGTATATATTATCTACACACGGTTGCCATTACGGAGCTGTACGGTGCAAGTCCACAAGTGGCGCGGAAAATGTTTTTCAATCTATGTATGTCTTTTTTTTTTTCTTTTTTTTTGTTGAGACCGATGAGTAATAAAATTGAACTTTATTTTTAAAAATCGGTTCCCAGATATGATAAAAAAAAAAAAAAACTCATAGCTCCGTGACATTTCATCATCTGTAGTTGTAAGAAAATGGTAAATTCGAAAAGAGTAAATTGACCCGAAAAAAGAGCTGCAACAAAGAAAAGAAAAGAAAAGAGAGATCGGCGCAGTCACTCGTTTTGAAGAGGGTGTTGTACAGTACAGCGATCGTGGGCTCGGATAAGCCGTAAACATCAACACATGCATACAGCAGCGTCCATCTGCCACCGGGGAGAGAACAGCAGCATAGTGGCGGCTGCATGGTTTCCAGGTGACCGCGGAAATTGGCCCATTCACGGATTCTGCAGTCCCTCTCTCCGCGCTGTTCTTCTTCTTTTTCGCCTCTCCCTTCGATTCTGACGGCCATACCTTCTCGCTTCTCTTGTACACCCCCTTTCAAGAGAAAACAGAAGCCACCGCAGTGTTTTTTTGTTGTTACTGTGCTGTCGTGTATAAGGTTTGTTTTTTTTTTTTTCATAATAAAAATTTGTGTCTTTTTGGCAAGTGAACGAGGTGCGTGCGAATCGTTGCGGCGTGGTTTTACGACGTTTCGTGAGAGAGCCGAGATACGCGGCTATGGGAATGAGAAGTGACGGGGAGAGAGGTATGTGGGAAAGGAAGTCGCTGTACTTACTGTGCTCTTGTTGCTTCTTTTTTTTTCGAAACGGCCTGCTATTAATGTTTTATCGATTTTCAAATCGCGTTTCTTATTGATGCAGTTTCCCAATTTCGTCAACAGAAACGATTAATTTTTTATTTTTCTTTTTAGTTTTATGATCTAATTGAATATGGTAAAAGTTTATAAATCCTGAGACTAGTGTATTAATCTTGGCTCGTAATGAGGTGGTAATTTGTACAGAGAGCCACACCTGGGTAATTATAGTGACTTGCAAATTTTGGCGCTAAAGCTTTGATCCCACTGGGGCCCGTCGCAGCACGTGGGACCGAGACAATTAGAACTCCAGCGTCTTTAGTTTCGCTTGTTTCGGTAGCCGGCAAGCACAGTTGGGTCCTTGTAGTATTTGATTCCGCACTCCACGGAAACCTGGGTATAGGCTAGCTTTACGTCTCAATAAAAAATTTTTATAAATTGCCAGTCTATACGTTTGTGGAGCATTAAGTCGAAATCGAAAGTTTTCTCTTGCGTAAACCAAACGTGTGATTAACTGCGTCGATCTTTGTTGTGTGCCTTTAGGTACATTTAAATTCACACATATTATATCCGTATCGAGATCAATAATATGTCAATAATTTTTTTACGATGCTCTGTGTTAAATCGCTAAAAACGAGTTATCATAATTTTGAGTGGATATTTTCGTATTTATGCTAGTTATTTTGAAAAAAAACAAAAATTGATGAATAGAAATACACACTGTAAATAAAAAATAATATAAAATAACGGAATGGGAGAGTTAAAACTGAGAAAAAAAAACTTTTTATGTCCCATAAGGTACATCCAATTATAAAAAAGCAGCCAAAAAGAAACCCTCGTTTCAAATGGAAGTCAAACCTATATATATTTTAAATAATTTTTTTCAGTCGGAAATGTGAGCTTATTAACTTCGTTACCGAAGCCTTGGCAAATATTTGTTTTCATCTGCCATTACTACATTTTTTCGTGTCTTTGTTGATTTTTCATTAAAAACTTTAGACGCGGGAGGTCATTGTTACTCCGTTAAAACGTGCAAACAGATCGATGAAATATCAAATGACAAGCGCGCAACGCATAATGAGTTTATTAATAGAAAATAATTTCGTTGATGTAATTTTGATCCTGAAAATAACTTTATTTTTTTAAAATTAAAAATAATTAAACGCTCGTTTATTCATTTGACGAAATTCCCAATTTGTTGATGAAATTAAAATAGTAATATTGTAACTGTGACGTACTTCTACGAATCAAGAGGGATCCATAACGTGACGAGACGTTTAACACGATATGTCAATTTAGGGTGACTCACGCGCCCGTATACTTTTCAAAGTGACTCACGTGTAACTACAACCAATTTCCTCTCGGCAAAATACTATGACTTCCCTCTACCCGACTTGCACTACTAGACAGATAAATCTCAAATATTCGACTAAAAACCATATCAAAAGTCATGGTCCAATTACGAGACCCCGCACTCGTCTCGAAAGTAAGAAACATCAGCCAAAAGAAAAAATCCACACACAAAACTCGAGCCGATCGCTAAAATAAATTTTTAATCAAACGCGTGCACGCGATGATGAAAACGATGCGCCACGCGAGAGTTAAAGGAGCAATATTTTTGTCTCTTGTTTCCGAAGGGAGTAGACCGAACTCTCTTGCATTTCTCCCGCAAGTTCTCTGTATATGGTGTACACACTCACTCTCGCGCGAGCAGGGGAACGAAAACTGAGCCGCGCCGAGAAAAAATAAAAAGGCGAAAGACGAAAGATTTATGAGCGCGCGTGATCCGCCCAAGTCTCGGATTTTCCATCCCGCGTCTCTTTTTTTCTTACCAAATTTTCGTGTATACATGTACTCCGTGCACCTTTGTTTTTCTCTCTCTGGTTTTTTTTTTTTTTTTTTTTCCTCCTGCCGTTCCGTTTTATTATTCAGGACTGGAGCTGCACGCGAGAGTGGCCAGACGCCTTGAAAACTTTATACCGTTGTGGTAGATCGAGGCTTTTGTCTCCGCGTTATATTCACCCGAAAAAATCACCTCGAAATTTTTCCTTTCGCTGGATTTCGTTTGTTTCCACCTAGGTTTTAAAGTATGCCACTACGGTGAAAAATGATGAAAATTTCACCTGCCGCGTGATACGTATATTTTATATTCTGATTGGTAATTGCAAAAAAAAAAAAAAAAAAAAATCCACCATCAAATCGCACCATCCGAACCACAGTTGACACCTCGCTTCGTGTATTGTTGCAGGATGACGTTACCCGGTAACAACGGCCCAGTGATGCAGCAGCCAGCGGCCGAAAAGACCCCGCCAAAGGCACCATCAGCCGCGCAAGAGTCGCCCACGGCGACAACGACGACGACAACTACGACAATGGCACCGTCGATGGCCCAGGGTAACTCGGGCATCGCCGGAAGCACCAACTCCAACCCGAAGAAACGCTGCTGGCGGCGTCGCACCGTCCACTTCACCGTCTTCCTCGCCGTGTTCTCCACCATACTCAGCTTGCTCTGGATTTACATGATCACCGCCGACATCAGGTGCGAACTCAATTTTTCTTCCCCCCTTCCCCCCCTCGACACGCACAACAACCAGGGTGCGACGTTAACGGATAAAGACTAATTCGCCCCATTTTTCTTGCCGCTTACGCATCGTACCCATTTTTAACCCCTCCCTCCTTATTTTAATGGTGGGGTTTATATGTATTCACGAGAGCTGATCCTTCTTTCTCTCTTTTTTTTTTTTTTTTTTTTTTCTTACCCCCTCGGAACGCGCTCTGGGGAGGAGGGAGGATTCTTATCGCTAGGCCACTGAGAGATGAATCTACGCGGGTACTTTGTCGCTTTTGAATGGCGATGCGCGGAAAATGAGCCGTGTAATTACGAGATCGGGTCTCGGCAATAACATGGGGGGGGGGGGAGCAAAGCGCAAGCTCGACATGTCGATAAACTCCCCATTCACCGGAATCTCAGCTGTGACGCACGCTTTCGCCCCCTTGTCGGTGTTTTCTCTCCGGTGTCCATATCGAAGCTGCCGCTGTGCATCTAACTCCTTGGGTTGACGAGCTCCCAAAGAAAGCCCCTCGGGGCGCATAATAAAAGTAGACGGAGGGGGTGGAATCGTTTTGCCCCGCTTTCCTTACCGATTCATTTTTAGACCGAGGCCTTTCTTCGGTGAAACTTTATACGCACGTGCGGTGAGGGAAGGGGAATAACAAAAGCAGACCGCAACAATTTCAGCCCACTTTCCTTTCTTTCTTTTTTTCTCTTTTCATCCGTACCTTTTGTTTCTTCCCCACGTGTGACTCGCGAAATCAAAGGGCTCTCACGTTGGCAAGCTCGACGACTCATCGCTGTATGCTTTTGTTGCTTCAACGCGAACAACAAAAAAAAAAAAAAAAAAAAAAAATTTCATCGATGGCTATTCAATATTGAAAGCTAATATAATCTTCATTACAAACCTATACGGATCATCCGACCCACCTGTTGTCGAGCCATCCTGTGAACCCGCGCGTGTAACGGGTTGCCATAAACTGCCCCTGGGACGTAGAGTACCCGCGCGTATGTATACTTAAATATCGAGAAACGATTAGAGAGCGCCTTTTTTTTTACGCGATGACCCCCTCTCGTGAAACCAAACTGCGTGTGATGATAAAAATTTATGCGCGACCTGGTGGTGGTTTGCAAAGAGCGCAGTGTGACCGTAAAGAAAGACGTCGCCAGTCGGCCCTTGATCGATATTTCCATCGCTGTGAATTATTATGTAGAGTAAAGAAAGACCATGATCCGCGTATCGCACGTGCATGTGTCGTGACGTGGAAAAATCTCACTTTTGCTTTATTCTGCTCGTACTTGTGTAGGAAAAAGGCCTTCGACATGAACATGATGCGGGACTACGTGCTCACCGGCATCCCGATGGATTATCCGCAACTCGTCAAGTACATCAGGGACATCGAGCTGAAGGGTACGACGCACAAGGAGAGCCTCAACGCCACCCAAACTCCCGAGGAGCGCTTCGTCGTCGCTCACCTCAAGAAAAAACGCGACGGCGTCTACTTTGAGTACATGAGCAGGGTCAGTTTTTCTCCTTTCGAATTGTGGCTGTATACTCTGCCTTTTTATACTTATTGTCAATTTCAGATAATTTGCGTTCGTCAATAAAATTCAACCGTGTGGTTTTATTATTTTTTGCCAATAGGTCGGTGCCACGACGACGACCGGCTGGCTGGAGAAGGAGATGAACTGGCGTGGTTTGCTCGTCATCACGGATCCGACGAGCTTCTTTGACGCGCTCAGAAGCACGAGGAACCCAAAGACCAAGTTCTTGCACGCCTACCTGAGCACGGACAAGGGCACGCGAGTCGTGAGTTTCGGTTTTGCATTGTCTCGCTGATTTTTACCCAAATTCGGGTTACCGAGTCGTCGATCAATTTTTCCAGACCACCTATCACCAGAACATGGACGTGCAGGTGATGAAACTCGGCGAGGGTCCCAACAGCTTGGGACTGACCAAGGAGATCATGCCAGCCACGAGGCTTATCTGTTATCCCCTGTACTCTATACTGTTGGCCTACAACACTACGACCATCGACTACTTGAATCTGGACAGCTCGGAGGTGCAGGACGGACTCGTAAGTGTGCCCATGTATCATATTGTTGCTTCTCATTGCAATGACAACAAAGTTTTATGCTCCCTTACTCATCTGCTCGCAGCTTCTCGATACGATACCGTGGGAGAAGATAAGGATATCGGTGCTGGCGGTCCACTGGAACATTGTCCATCACAGCGAGCCCGAGACCCAGGACATCATCGACAAGCTCACGAGACACAACTACGAATTCGTCAAGAGCCTGAGTACCGGCAAGCTCATTTTCGTCTACAACCAACAGCTCAAGGTCTGAGCTTGAGAACCTATTCGTTACGCGACTTTGGATCATCCTATTGTTTGTGGTGTACCCGATACACATGCTGGGAGTATGATAAGCGCAACCTTTTGCGTGGGATGGTATTGTTATACCTACGAGGGATGTCGATGGATCATCGATATGCCTTGACGTGATAAATACATGAAAGAGTTATTGTATAAAAAAAAAAAAAGGGAAAAAGAGTGTAATCCAAAAGAAACTATTCTAGCAAACTTTTTTTTTCATTATGATACATGGNAAGCCATAGTGGCTGTGGCGAGTATGTAGAAATAAAAGCACGCGTAGACGAGTCGAAGATGCAAATGTACGAATAATGCGGCAGAGGAGCGAGTGCGCGCACTTGTATATTATTGAGTTTAACGCCTTCCGGCCGTTTATACGATGCTGTTTTACTTCTCATTGATACATTTTTTTTTTTTTTTTTTTTCCTTTTTTTTCTTGGCGTTAAGAACTTTTTTTTAGGCTAAGTAAGTGATTTGATTATTATTTCTTTTATCGCAGTTGTAATTGGTGTGATTCATCAAGAAGTATTATTTAGCAACCGATGCATTTTTTTTTACTAATCATAGTAACCGAAGGATACTCAGTTTTGAAGCATTTAATTACTCATCGTATCAAATGGTGCCTTTTTGTTGGATAAAGGGAGAAACAAAATAAAAGAACAGAAAATTTCTTTATCCTCCGCATTGTAGTCTTGCGTTTTCGATCGTTGCATTTTATGCATTGTTGCACAAATGGTTATTGTGTGCAACTTTGGTACGTTCACAAGGAATTGAGTAGAGAATTTTTTGAAATTTTTCAAAGTGGATTAGGACTATGAATATCAAGTGAGCAACTTTGAATATCTCAATTAACGGGCCTTACTAGATGCGTAAGATGAGCGATAGTGAGTAATGCGTGTAAAAAGTGAACGAATTTTATCAATGGTACGAATGTGTTGGTATAGCCGAGCTATATACAATGCATTATAAGTTTATTACACATAGTTAATCGCGAAAGAATCAACGGATTTTTCTTTGATTTTGATTGTTCGTTAGTTTTCATTTTTGATGTTTTGTGCATAACAGCTTTATTTCTTTCACTTTTCAGAAGGAAAAACACTAAATAAAGCAATACTTGATTGTCGTTCAGCGTAAAAAATTGCTTGTAAAGAGGTTCGTTGGTTTTTTCGCATGTTTCTATAGATTATTGTAACTGAAACGTAACAACCATCGAAAAAAGTGTTGTTGACAAGTATGCATAAAAGAATGAATTAAATCGTTGAGATGTATAAACAATCGATAAAATTATTTTATCGATTCGCACAAGGTCTTTTGACTTTAATCAACTTTAACGAGCTTTCGTAAGTAATATGTTAAATAACAAGTAACTTGTAAATTTTAGGGTATACCACGAAGTTAAAGAAAGTATTAGAATCAAACACTAATATTAAAAAACTCTTTTTCCTCAATACCTTTTAACAGTATATTTTCTCTTTTTTTTTTCTTTTTTTTTTTCACTCAAGAGAGAAAACTATCTCTTGTATTCCTGAAAATACTTTTTTTGGTTTTGTACTTTGCAATAGCGAATGTTTAATCAATGTAATTGCGTTTTGTTTAAAACAACTCGTTACTATTAGCACTAGAGTATTTACATGACTGAGCCTACAGACACAATTTTATGATTAAGTAGGATATAAATATGCGTAATACGTTAATTTACCAGTTTTGTATTTCTATAGAAAAAGCTTTTATTAAAATTAATTTTGTAATGTTGTATTAAGTAATCCTTAAGCATTTGTGTTACAGATTAGCGTCTACAAGAAGCATTTGTAAGAAATGTACACGTAGGAATTAAAAAAAAAATCAAACTATTCAATCAAAAAATTCCTGAGAAACATATGAAATAAATTTGAAAAAAATTTTAACCAATTCTTCTTATTTCACAAATTCCTATAGACCACGCCTATCGATTAAAAAAACAATTGTTTCATTCATTAAAAATTTCCTTTAACTTTCCTCGAGCTCGGAATATCATAGAAATAAACAAAATCGATTGGTCAGTTACTCCGACCTCAGTCGAAACAACATTATCCAACGTAAAAATAAAAAAGAAGAAATCCACAATAATATTCTCAAGGGAGGAAAAAAGTCACCCTCCGTTAACTTAAAAAAATAAACCCGAGATCTCAAGCCCCAGAAGCCGGAAATCGATCTTTCTCCTCGGTCTTTTCTCTCTCCCCCGTCCTATACACGAGGTGGAAGAAGAAGAAAAAAAAACTTGGAATCACACCGAGCGTCTTCCCCATCAGAGAGGGTTGTACGGGAGAGACACGCAGTTGCTTTTGTTCTTTGTCCGCCCCCCCGATGTACAGGTACGCAATTAAAGTTCGACGCTCCCCGGAGACTTTGATCGAAGGGTAGGTGGGAAGGTATAATCAAGACGGCCGAGTTTCCTCCCTCCACCCCTTTATTTCCACGGCAATCGAAGTGGGCGCTGGTACAATTGCGCGTGAATAAACCAGGTCGTGTATTAATTATTTATCTTTGGATGATGCACGCAATCTCGAGAGTGGACTCCCGCAAGCGAGCCGCATCATTGGGATCTCCGGAAAATCAGCCTATCCTCTCTGGCTCTGGAAATTTCGGCAAAATAGCAAAACAAAAAAATGAGCTCCCGTGCAACCGACACACCTTTTTTTGCTGTTGTTTTGTTAAATTTAATTCCCCTCCAGTTGATACACATATTACGTACATATATATGTACGCGCTACGCGCGGGTGCGATAAAAGCTTAACGATCTCGGGAATCGATAACGATTTTCCAAGATAGCGAGTCGTGCGCTTCGGCCCCAGGGGCGTTCACTGGCCGGCGCTCGTCGTATGCTCTTTCTTTCCACTTGACAGTCTTGGCAATTAATTCCCCAAGTATAGTACAACACGGCTGTGCCCGCGACTCCGAGTTTTCCGCGATTCCTTTTTTTCTTCTCTTTTTCCAAAATGAGCTCCTGAGCTGTGTCAGTCATCCCCCTTCTTTTTGTTCTTTTCGACATCGCGGGGAAAAATCAAAGTTTGAAGGAGCCAGGGACGAGGAGGTTGTTTTGATTGTTTTCGAAAAGAGGGTCAAGTGAGAGAGGTAAAAAAAAAAAAAAAAAAAAAAAACAGTCCGAGGATGGAGGGCACTGGAATGCTGAGTGGGACGCCGGCGCGGCAGGAGGGCCAAAAGCTCTGGCAGTATCTGGCCGCCTTTTCTGGTAATTTACCCTCTTCTTTCTACAAACACCCTTTTTACAGTGGCAAATATTCGTATCCTTTTAGAAAAAAAAAAATAATTTTAAATAGTTCAACGCTAATTGCGAGTTTACGGTTGTCTTTATTCGAGGCGATCGTGTCATTTCCTATTTCGTGATACTAGTTATATCAGTCTTGATTATTGGTACAACTTGAGTATACATATTTTATCATTCAAAAAGTTTTTTTTTTTTTTTTAATAAAAATGTACGTGACGTGTATCATAGAGAGGCTACAAAATTATAAAATACAGTTACACATTACGTGTAGTTTAGTTTTACAAATCGGGTATAGAGTCAGTCTGTTGAGCAAAACAATGTATACTATCTTAAAAATTGCCTATTCCGAAAATGTATCTTATCTAAAGTTAATAGTGAATTGTGCATTCACGTACGTTGAGCATATGACTTATCTATCATTAACCAATACAATTGTACGAATTCCTCCTTTTCGATAACCAAATGTTTCATTGACGCATGACGAAACACAAAGGCTTAAATTTATCTTTTACCATCGAAATTTTTAATTGTAAGAAAGCTTTGTCTTCAAAGTACAAATCATTGCTCGAGTACTCAAACCACGTGAAATCAAAAAACCGTTAAGATAGGAAATAAATTTACTTCAAGGTACATTTTTTCAAGAATCGTTTTCTCATTATTTTACTTTGCAACGTTATTTTTAGATACGACTGACTGATAGTTTGTTTTTGTCCGTAGTACACAAACCACCCGGACCATTTTATTAATTATTTCGGTGGTTTTTTTTTTTTTTTAAACCTGCGAAATAAATGACGTTTTAGTAAAGTGACCAATCAATATGTTGAAGTAGCAAAATACGGTTTTTCGTATACCGATCATTAAACTGAATCGAAGAAATCAGAAGCAAAAAAGAAAAAGAGGTTTATCTGTAGACACGATTCGCCGATCAAACAAGCACAAATGTATCCCGTTAAATGATAAAATCTGAAACCGATTGGGGTCCCCGATAAAAATCGTCCTTTATTTACCGCGTATAACTCATAACAGCAAAAAATCGAATAATCTTCCAGCCTGCATCCTCTCGGTCGGCGTGGGCACGGCCCTCGCGTGGACCTCCCCGGTGATGTTCTCCCTGAAGAGCGCCGACTCGTTCCTCCCCGTGAGCGAGGAGCAATCCTCGTGGATCTCGTCCCTATTGGCGATCGGCTCGATGTTGGGCGCCCTACCGGCCGGCATGTTCGCCAACGCCGTGGGCCGCAAGCGCTCCCTCTTGGCCCTGGCGGTGCCCTTCCTCCTCTCCTGGGCCGTCATATTCGCGGCAAGTGCCGTTTGGATGCTCTACGCCGCCCGGCTGACCGTTGGCGTGGCCGTTGGGGCAGCGTGCGTCCTCGTGCCCACCTACCTGTCCGAGATAGCCGAGGCGTCGATACGGGGCACCCTTGGCGCCATGTTCCAGCTCTTCCTCACCGTCGGCATCGTCTACACCTTCTCCCTCGGCGCCCAACTGGCCTACCACCCCCTAGCCGTGGCCTGTGCTCTGGTGGTGGTCGCGTTCGCCGCCAGCTTCGCCTTCATGCCCGAGTCCCCCGTCTGGCTCATGGTGAGTCGTCATTGATATTACCGTGCCAAAAGTGCGTATATATATATGTATATGTATTTACACGTGATGGGGGTTGTTTGTTGGGGTGACAGAGCCAGGGGAAGAAGCACGAGGCGTCGGTGGTGCTGAGGCGGCTGAGGGGTAGCGGTTACGACGTGAGCGCGGAGTTGGGGGAGCTGCAGAGGGATTGCGAGGAGGGGGCGGGCGAGAGGAGCTCGGTGTTCGATCTGGTGAGGTATCCGGCCCCGCGAAAGGCGCTTTTCATCTGTTTCGCGGGCATGGTGTTCCAGCAGCTGTCGGGGATCAACGCCGTCATATTTTACACCAAGGACATCTTCGAGGCGTCCAACAGCTCCATGTCGCCCGATCTAGCGGCCATTTGTGTCGCCCTCGTGCAGGTGGGCCTTTGTTTGTTTTTTTTTTTTCTTTCCCAACGTCGTTAATCGCTTTTATTATGGAATGTTTAATGAAATTTCACTACTTACCTGAGAGTCATTGGCACGAAAAACAACATGCATTGCCATTCAAAAGGATATAAGAAAGAGGCAAAATATTTGAATGTTTGATTTTAGTAGTTTTACAGAATTTGGGCTTAAATAATTTTACTATAATCGAGACCTTGGATGACAACATTTTTTTCCAAGAAAAACAAACGCATTACAAATTGAAAGGGTATTCGGGAAAGGAAATTCGGAGTCAAAGTATTTAAATTTTTGATTTCAGTAACTTTACCATATTTGTACAGAAATATTGTTATCCAACAAAAACAATGCATAATTGTAATTTGAATGGAAAAAAAAAAAAAAAAAAATTTAGGAAAAAAAATCAAGACACAAAGCATTGATACATTTGATATCAGACAAATCAAACGTACCAAAAATGTATTGCTCGTCGTATGCTCTTTCTTTCCACTTGACAGTCTTGGCAATTAATTCCCCAAGTATAGTACAACACGGCTGTGCCCGCGACTCCGAGTTTTCCGCGATTCCTTTTTTTCTTCTCTTTTTCCAAAATGAGCTCCTGAGCTGTGTCAGTCATCCCCCTTCTTTTTGTTCTTTTCGACATCGCGGGGAAAAATCAAAGTTTGAAGGAGCCAGGGACGAGGAGGTTGTTTTGATTGTTTTCGAAAAGAGGGTCAAGTGAGAGAGGTAAAAAAAAAAAAAAAAAAAAAAAAAAAAAAAAAAAAAAAAAAAAGAAAGAAATGAAATTTCACGGGCACGTAAATATTTCAGTGCTCGATGGCAGTCGTAGCCGCGGTGATTGTCGACAAGGCCGGGCGCAAGCCGCTGCTCATGTTCTCCTCGGCTCTGATGGGCCTGAGCTTGACGACCCTCGGCCTATTCTTCAAACTCCAAGAGGCCGAAAGCGACACCAGCAACCTGGGCTGGCTGCCCCTCGCCTCCCTCGTACTCTTCATGATCGCCTTCTCCATCGGGTGAGCCGCGCACTCCCACACCTCGACAACACCACAATACACGCGCTCACAAATATATATATATATATATATATATATACATATTTTTTTTTATGCGTAAAATTTTCAATTGCAGGATGGGTCCGATCCCGTGGATGCTCATGGGCGAAATGTTCACGGCTGAGCTGAAGGGCAGCGCCTCCAGTCTGGCGGTGACGCTCAACTGGTTCCTCGTGTTCCTCGTCACCAAGACCTACCCCACCCTCAAGGACGTCTTCCACGCGTCCGGCGCCTTTTGGATTTTCGCGGTCGTCATGTACCTGGCCACGGCTTTCATTCTCTTCGTCGTTCCCGAGACGAAGGGCAAGAGCATCCAGGAGGTCCAGGACCTCCTCCTCGGGAGGAAGAAAAACAAGTCCGGCAGCTCCGCTTGATTTGTCCAACGCGTTTGACTGTTTTTTTTTTTTTTTTTTTTGCTGAGCGAATGTCGCGAGAGTTTATATTTATTTTTACTATACAACTGCGGTGTCTTTGAATGATCGGTAATTTGCTAAAAAAAAAGAAAAAAAAAAAAACCATTTTGTACAATGTGACACGATTTGTAAAAGTTGCGCTAATTTTGTAATACTCGAGAATTGAGAATTAAAAAACGATTAATACATTGAAAAACTACTCGACAGTTTCTCGTCATTTCTTATTCCTAAATCTGGTGTTTACACGAGGGAATCGAGTGATTAAAATCAAAGCGAGCAATCGCCACCTATACTTGCCGGCTCTCCCTTATCGCCCCGCAACGCGATAGATAATCGCGCGTTTTTCCGATTTCAAACAACAATGCGATTACGCAGTGCCTCGGGATCGTCTCGCCGAAACAAAAAACTCCGAGTTGCGCAATCGTACATGGTGGCAATTCAATTTGTCTCGGAAGGAGAATTTAAGAAGAAAAAATAGGTGAAGCCATAGTGGCTGTGGCGAGTATGTAGAAATAAAAGCACGCGTAGACGAGTCGAAGATGCAAATGTACGAATAATGCGGCAGAGGAGCGAGTGCGCGCACTTGTATATTATTGAGTTTAACGCCTTCCGGCCGTTTATACGATGCTGTTTTACTTCTCATACCTTCGGTTGCTCGTGGCGACTCGCGGTGGAGTTAACTTTTGATATAGCATAGCGTTCATATTTCGACCAACAAATGACCAAAGGCGAAGCCAAACAACAGCGCGTGTACGACTTCATACCGATCGCCCGCACAGGTGCACACTCGTTATTTCCCCCCCCCCCCTTTATTGCTACCTGTGACTTTCTTTTATTTGTATTTATCGTGTGCATCTTTGGCAAAATAAAAAAAAAGCCAAGACTCCTCGATGGGCGATAAGATCGCTTATAGATATGACAGAGCAGTTACCTAATTAAAATTGCGCGGTGATACTTGTAAATGTTGAAAACTTTTCGCCACGGCCGTGTGAAATTTTTCATCGCCCAGGGACGCCGTTTACACTTTTCCGAGATTACAGGCACATACCGATACTCGACCGAGTCGGGAAGGCAATAACGCGATACACGTTCTGAAAATTGAACTTTGAAAAAAAATAAACACTATCACTTATCGATCGATCGTGACGTGAAATCTTATAGCGGCGGGAATATTTACTCACCCGTCCGGTGAATTCCGCCGATTTTTCCTTCCCATCGACGTTTCCGCTGACGACACTTGCGCGTCGAAAAAAAAAAAAAAAATCATTCAAAGAACAAGAAGCCACGATTCAAGGCTCGCGCGATAAAACGATAATCTCCGGTGAGTGGTGTACCTTTAGTTTGTCTTGGAAAAAAAAAAAAAAAAAAGTCGCGCGCCTCTTTATCGGTGGCACATCTGTGTCGTCGTCATAAGCAAGTGAGTGAGTTGTCGTGTAGCCATCATCGGTACCTACCTAGGATACTTGGAAAAGTGCGAGAAATCAAAGAAGAAAAAGAGGAAGGAAAACATCTACAATCGGTGATACGTGCATTTGGGCCGCCCAAGTCATCGATTTCTTGGGACGATCGTGTAGTACGTATAGGGTCCTATACGAACAGGTGTTGAGAAAAAATTAAAAAAAATTTGCGAGGAGGAAACAACGACTCGAGCCAAGAGATAAGAAAGTGTTTGCACTCGAGAGCTGCTGCCGCGGGCCATACGTCACTTTGGACTCTGGTACACAAATATATGTACATATGAGTGAGTTTGACGTTTTTCTGTACACTTTTCTCTCTGTACTTTTTTCTAAAGGAATTTTTTCTTGGTATTGCGGCGTTTCACTAGCTAATCGCTTATTTTGAGCCTGTGAGATAACTACTAAATAAAATAAATCGGTATGGCGTATTTCGATCGTGCTCTATTCGCAAAATGATAAAAACTTATACATTCTAATTTCAAGTGATTGAAAAAAAAAAAAAAAAAAATCAGTCCCACCACAAGTCATCCCAACTCCCTGCAACAACCCAGAAGCAGAGTAGTAATCGGTGCAATTTTCGATACAGGCCTACTCCAGTCTTTCGAGCCTCAAACAGCATGATCGTCGTCGTCAACGATCCCACTTTCAAGCAATTGATGCGTGTGCATCAATACAGACTCGGGATATTACGCGAAATGATTAACGCAAATGGCATTTAGGAACAATTGGGCTAGATGTAACCCTATACATATACATGCACCTACTACCTGTTGCATTTTCGCATCTGATGACTCGGAGAGCGTTTTCTCCTCTTGATATCTCTGTGCATCAATTTTTTTTTGTTTTTCCATCCAAAAATCAATCGCGACAAGCTTTGTGCACAAAGTTATACGTATCACAAAAATGCTGATCCGATACAGCTAAAAACGTATTTTTACACGATTACAATACTCGTGATCGATAGATATCGACATTGGGGTCATTGATTTGTAAATATTTTCGTGATATCGCCGAATCCGAGGGGAAATTTGACTGATTTTTAGGCGATACTAAACTCCTCATACGCGTACGATCAGTGTTACACTGAAAGACAGTTTTCTTTAGAATAAAAAACAAATACTCACTATAATATTTCTAAATAAACAAGATTATAGTTTCTTGCTTCAAAAAATTGTTTATTTCAAACAAGCAAAAAAGTTTCATGTAATAAACGTTATTTTGCACTATCCTAGAACATGTTGTGTTGTTTTAAAAACTTTTGTTTTTTCTTTCAATCATAGTTGAAATACTTTGCAAAGTCGTGCGTACACGTATTATTAAACTTTAGAGAAAAATGAAAAAACCGTGTGGTTTTAACGTATGGGAAGCTGAAATGATAAAAGAAGAAAAAGATTCAATAAAAAGCAGATGGCACTTGCCGGTAAATCCCAAGAGCCGGAAACGAAAAACCTCATCGCCTAATCAGACATTTCGCGCACGGAGGTACAAGAGCGCGTGCGACTATTTTCCTCTTCCCCGAGACCTTGCAATAAGTGCGTGCGTGTCGCGCATCGCATACCCCATGCCTACATCGTGCAGTCTCTTGTTCTCTTTTGCTTGTTTTGTGCGAACCTCTGCTTACCTGTACCGGTTTTGGCGGGTCGAAGGCCAAAACGGGAACCACTTACGGTTTATTGTCCACCTTTTTTCTCCATTATAAAATTTGACGGTTGTCCTATAGGATATGTGTACAAGCGTCAAAGCCGAAAATTCATTTTTTTGAATTATTTTTTTTTTTTTTACTACTCGATGTATATTTTTTTTTTTTATGTAGAACAATTTCATGTACAAAATTAAATTTAACCGTCAATTTCTAGAGGTTAATAATTCAGTCGTTTTAATCACGAACATAATTTACCCTAATCAAAGGTCGGTCAGTGAACCAAATTTGGGGACAACTAATATGGGACGTATGACTTTAATATTAATTAGGGTTTATATTTTTTGACTCCACGCACGACACATGGAGTGTCATTGCTCGCAAGGATAGTTAAGAAATAATAAAAGTGATTACAATGAGTCTGCAAAAATTTTGCATAAAATTATTGCCGGAACAGTTTACCTAATTGTTTCATTAATTACACAATTAGCATATAAAAAGCGCAACAATATAATTTAATTTTTTTTTTTTTTTTTAACTTTTGTATCAATATGAAGCTAAATATGTTGATTATATTAGAAATGGGCGTCTCTGTAGAATATTTCGAGCTTTCCAATTTTCAGATACCTTCATGAGATTATGGTAACCAGTGGCTAAAAATTTCTTTGCATCTAAACATTTTTTTGTTGTACTTTTAAGCTAACGCATGCACTCAATGGAATATTGAATTTTCAAATGTAAATTATCAAGAAATAGAACACTAAATGTTTTACGTTGTTGCAACACTGTGCACAATTCAATATAAGTCACAATTGATGAACGACACGAAAAATTTAGGTTTTTTTAAATAAAAAACAATACCATCATGTTTTTCACTTTAAATTAAGAACATTTTGTTGTCTCTCTGGTAAAAAGGAATTTAAACTGTTTATAACCACTGTATCTATCGTGCAATAGTATGAATATACTATACAACAAATTCTAAAATTTTTATTGTCATTTAAAATTTAATAATTGTCTTTAAAAAAATATATTTTAAATTAGTTCTTAAACAACTATATTAACCATAAATGTTGTAATTAGTGATTGGAAAAATTCGATTAATTATCAATTTTAGGATTGACAACTAAAAATTCTTTTATTTAAGTGACGAAATTTTTTTTTATTA